GGAAGTCCAGCGCCTTAACCACTATGCCACCTACTGGCCCCTAGGAATGAATTCTTCTAATCTTTTTCTTTCAACAGTAGATTTTACCTATAAAAGCATGTTAATTTTTTAAAGAAGTATTTATTTATTTACCTATTTATTTATTTATTTATTTATTTATTATTAATATTATTTCGTTTTGACCAGCGAGAGAAGGGGAAAGTGAAAAAGTAAGCTGCCAGGTCTGGGATTCGAACCATGGTCACCTCTGTGGGAGTTCAACACCTTAAGCACCACGCCACTTGCTGGCCACAAACACATTGATTTTGGAGCCTGAGCTAGACAGACTGAGTTGAAAACCAGCTTGCCCCCCTGATGTTGTGGTGACCCCAATATGGCTGCATGGGCTACTGAGAACCAGTGTCCACTGAGTGGAGCGTGTTCATTCCAGCTGGTCAGGTTTGTGCCGTTTCAGCAACAAAAACAGGTCTTGTGACAAGACCCTGGCAAAAGTGTCTCTGTCTCTTGCACACAGGTGCACACACTCTCTCAATCATAAAATCTTTTGACTTACCCGTCCGAGGGAGCTTGACCACGCTCTCATCTGTACTAGCCATTTCCAAAGCACTCCCAGAAGTGTGTCACTCTTGTCAAAGAAGCAAAAACACACAGCGACTGAACACATGACTGGACGAGTAACTGTCAGCTTGTGGTTCACATGAAAGCTCTCTTAGGTTAGAGGGATGGGCTCTCCCAGTTTACACCAAAGTATTTTTCTTTTTTTTTTTTGGAGAGGTTTTTGCTATAGGGCACATGCGCTCACCAGACAGACAGAGAGAGAGACATAGAGACAGAAAGCGAGAAATCACCCCCCAGGGGGGATGGTCACGCCACAATCCCTTCTCCTCCATTCTCCTCTCGGGATCTTGGGCACGCACGCACACATGCCCGGCGTGAGTTTTAAGCCACTGGGTCCGGGACGCGAACTGCGGTCGACTATGTGGGAGTCCAGCGACATAGCCATTATGCTAACTGCTGGTTCCCAAAGTATTTTTCTTAAAAAATATCCTTTCTAAAGGAATTTTCATCGCTTGAAACAAATGAAAAGGACAATCGCTCAAATGATTGTTAGACACATTTAAAGGCCCAGAGATTACATTCATTCAGGTCAATGCGCAAAGGGCTGGGAGACTGAAAGGGAAGGGTTAAATTCAGGTTCAGAAAAAGGCCTCCCCTGGGTTTGAGTTCTGGGAAGTTTCTTCAAATGTTGCTCCACAAGTCAAGTTAAGGGCAGGTTTCACTTCATGCAGCATGTGATGGAGAATAAGAGGCAAAAAATAAAACATGTTTCGGCGGCTGTGGGGACCCAGCTATGATGGGGGCCTTGAGCTGCCTACGCACTCCCTGGTGGTCCAGAGCCGCAGGAAAAGGCCAGGGACCGGGATCTGCCACACAGGACACAGACGATTATGGTCACTCATTATGGGCATGGGCCAGGTCAGCCTGGTTTGAGGGCCCAATGTGGGTGACATGGCTGGCTTCGGTCAGCACAAGAGCTCAGAGTATGTGAAGACTCCTATGGGTTTACAAACGCATGTTGCTAACTTCCAAGATCCGGTGCTGAAGTGCATGCTAGATATGCGGTCCTGTGTTCCGACACTGGGGGAGGCCGTAATACAGCTGCATGATTTGTTGACAGCACGGCTAGTTCACGGTACCCGTTTGGCTGCGGTGGTTTCTCGTGCCACATCAGGCTAGAACAGCTTGGGCACTGCTTTCACACACACGGTGCGAGCAGCCATCTGTGTCCTGTTGAGCACGTGGAGTCCTAAATGAGATTAGGTTCAAGTCCTGGCTTCTCTGCTGTGACCTTTAGCAGATGACTTAACCTGTGAAGCAGGAATCATAAATAATTCTGTTCAATACAGTTGCTGTGAAAATTAGCATGAAATAGTGCATGTGAAGAACATGACTATTGTTTTCATTATTATTGTTTAAAAATATTGGTAAATGAGCCGGCCAATGGTGTGGTGCGTAAGGTGGCTGGATCCCACGTGGCTGACTGAGCAATTTGAGTCCTAGACCTAGTAGCTTGAAAAACATGTCAGGCGCATGTGCTTGCGTGACCAAAATCCTGAGAAGAGAATGGAGAGAAGGGGATTGCAGCATGGCCATTCCCCACTGGGGGTGCTTCCTCACTGCCACCACCCCCCTCCTGCTCTACAGCAAAATAAAAATAAGTGTAGGTAATTCACACATTAAGAAGCTTATAAATACAATCTCTGTACAATTCCAGCATCCAGAGAGGCAACAACAATGAAACACAATGGTCTTTATTTCATAGCTGAATACGGTCGTGGTGGCTGCGCTCCCGGTAAGAGCACGTTCAAGTTAATTCCTCTAAGCATGGCCTAAGCACGCTCCAGGGGAAGAACTGTATCTTTCCTGGGAGGGAGGAGTACAAGGCATCCCTCTCCCCCCACCCCCCATGGTTTCTCCAGTTCTTAGCTCATCAGGTTCTGAGAACTGAGTGGGAACAATGGCAAGAGCTGGGTCCTTGTGGCCAGTCCCTCCTCATTCACACTGCACTGTTGTTTTCCCTTCCTCTCCCCAAGCCTCCTCCTGTGAACACAGCCACTGGATGACGTTCGGTGCAGACCCTCCCCCCAGCAGGGCTGTGCACTCCTCACACCACCGTGCTGGGCGTGGCCCGTGCTGTGGCCAATGTCTCACCAGTAGGTGTGACGCCAGCAGAGCCTCAGAATGAGTCTGTGCACTTGGCTAGGCCTCTGGCTCCTCTAGCACTTCTGCTATTGCCAGGAGAGAAACACATCCCCGCCAGCCAGCCCACGGCCTATGAAGAGGGAGGCGGACCTGAGCCAACCTGCGGCACAGCACTGTCCCAGTCAGGCCCAGGCTAGATCCACCAACCCACAGACACAGGAGCTGTGACACCCAGTGTTTAAGCCACTGAGCTGAGTGTGTGTCAGTGAGGAGAAGGTCACACAGCAAGAGCCATCCGATAGGGGCCAGACAGTGATGCGAGTGTAAAACACGACTCTGCAAGGTTGACCAGCATGGGAAGGTTGCTAGTTCAAGTCTGGAGACCTCCCTGGGTGTGCCGGGCTGGCACATGCCCTCAGTCTGGGCTAGAGGTAGATCACGGTATTGGGACCCTGCCTTGTTCTCACTGTGGAACAAATAAAATTTTAAAAGAAAAAAAAATCTAACTGATAGATTTCTAATTTTGTCACTTTTGGTGTACTTGAGATAAAGCTATTTTAAAAAACAATAGTAATTCACAAACGTATATGCAAATATTTATGAAGTGATATATAATTTATATAAATAGTGCAGAAATATAAAGGGACTTCAGAATGTTTGTGGAAAAGTGGATTTAAAGCATGAGTTTATTGTGGGACAAAAAAAAAATGAAATAAATCCATACCTAGTTTTTTCATAATGTGCATTTTCCATAAACTTTTTGAAGACTCCCTCATGCATGTGACTACATTTTTTGGAAGAAAATGTGCTAAGTTAGTTCAGTGCCTTTTGCCTTCCCCTAAATTTTTAAGTGGTTTTAACATGCCAAAATGAGATTTTTACAGTGTACAAGAAATACAAAAAAATTAAAACTGATTAATGGGTTGCTCTTTTTTTAAGAATTATTTTATTTAACTTTGCTTATTTATTTATTTTTTAATTTTATCAGAAAGGAACAGAGAGAGCGCCAGGTCAGGGACTCAAACCGCGGTCAGCCATATGGGAGTCCGGTGGCCCTAACCACCATGCCACCTGCCAGCCCCATGGATTGCTCTTTTCTGTCCATTTACAGGCAATATAATGAAGTAGCACAAAAACTTATCAAAGTAGAAATGTTTGAAGCAGAAAAGCATGGAAATTTAATTGTCTACTTCAGTTGGAAGCAGAGCTATGTTCTAATCGCCTATGTAATTATTTCTATTCTATCAAATGTAAAATCTATCATTTATGTCAGGAGAATACTAGTTAAGTGCAGATTACTACTTTTTTTAATTGCCAGAGGGCACATGTGCTCCCCAGAGAGGAACAGAAAGAGGAACAGGAAGCACACAACAGTCCCTTTTCCATTTCTCTATCCTGTTGGAGTTTGGGGGCACAATTGCACATGTGCCCAAAGTGTTTATCAAGCCTCTGGAGTCAGGATTCAAACCATACTCAGCCGTGTAAGATCAGGCTCCCTTAACCACAAGGCCGCAGGGCCACTCCGGATGATCACTCTCTCCAATCTTGACTTTTTCCCCCCAGACATTCCCTGAATGTATATGCAGAAAGCTAGCTAAATACTAGGGTTAGCATCATCCATCAAAAACATCAGGTGGATAGTAGTAGTACATTTTAAACAGACAGATTCAATCTATTATATATTTTTTAATTATTTTATTTAACATCATTTATTTACTTACTTATTTATTTATTTCAATTACCAGAGAGGAATAGAGCAAGAAAGAAAGAAAGTGAGAAAGCAAGCCACCAGGTCCAGGACTTGAACCATGGTCGGCCATGTGGGAGTCCAGCACCCTTAATCACTATGCCACCTGCCGCCCCCCCAGTCGATTATATTTTAAGCTGTAAAAGATTATATTGAAAGCTGTATCCTGTAAGGTACAAACTTGGCTACAGGTGGCACAGTTTGGCTCCACTCACTGTAGCTTAAGTTATAAGGATAGTCCCTGTTTGCTTGGCAAGAAACTCAGAGTTAGTCCCTATCCAGATTGGTCTGCAAGCTTAATAATGTTATTAAGAACTCAAACTCGGGACGAGCAGTTAGCATAATGGCTATGTCACTGGACTCCCATGTAGTCAACCCTGGTTTGAGTCCCAGTGATCCCAAGAGGAGAACGGAGGAGAAGGGATTGTGGCATGGCCATCCGCCCTGGGTGGTGATTTCTCGCTTTCTGTCTTCTCTCTGTCTCTCTGGCAAGCACACGTGCCCTATAGCCAAAAATAAATAAATAAATAAATAAACCTCTCCAAAAAAAAAAAGAACTCAAACTCTTTCTGTAATTCCATTTTCCATTTTGGCGTATATCATCCCATGCTTTTACCTCATAGTTGCAAGACGGCTGCAATAGTTGCAAATATATAAAAATTCAAGGCAGAAAGAACCCCCACTTTATCATGTATCAAGCTAGCGAAAGCTCTCCAGAGGCCTCCCTGCAGACTTCCTCCTGCATCTGGTTGGCAAGAAACGCAATGTGTCCACGGACACTCCTAGCTGGAAGGGCGGCTAGCAAACTGACTATCCAGTGAAAGGGAATGAGTTTGTTATGATCAACTCTGAAATGTCATGAGTCATCTCCTCTGGCTGGGCACCTTGTCACCCTGAGCAAAATCAGGTTTTTCTTAGCAGAAAGAAAAGACATGACTCCAGGGTAGCCAGACGTCACCTGCGCATTGCCCTAGCTGCCCTTCAGTGTCTGGTATTCTCAAGCTTATAGAGACAGCAAAACCGAAAACATGGAATTGTGAGATTACCTTTTTTAGGGAGGCCAGGAGCAACCCGGACTTCTTTGAACTTCTCAGCAGGCAACAGGAAAATTGGGGGAGTGCCCAGAGGCCAAGAAATCCATCCATCGCTGATCACCTTAAGAAGGCCTGCCTAAAGTCGGCTCCATCCTTCAGCCCGGCCACCAAACACAGCTTCCCGGTTCCGTCCGCTTTGTCAGGCTGGTTGTCTTAAGGGCCTGTTGGTTGCTGATTCTGTACATGGAGCTTTCCTTCGCTCCGTAACGTGAATTTGCAATTGAGGAAACTTGACAATGTATGAAACGATACAACAAGAAAAACAAAATTTTCACTGTTCTGATTCATTGTGTTGAAAATAAAAAAGACCAAAAGTTAAAAAGTGAGTTTCTATTTCAAAGTATTATCGATATGGAGCATCTCACTGCAAAATATTGAGTTGTCAGAAAAGTCATGACATATTTTTCCATGTGAAACAGCAGTGTGACTCTCCCGACAGCCTCGACGTATACACAGGACACTGCACAGCATCAGCTTCACGCCAAGGCTTTATAACCTGAATCTACCTAGCGACAGTCTTATTTGGGTCATCGAATGGGGGTTGGGGACCAAATATTGCTCGTAAGTTATTAAATAACATATGATTATTCTTAGACGTATAAACTTTTTTTTTTTTTGGAGAGATTTTTGCTATAGGGCGTGTGCACTCACCAGACAGACAGACAGAGACAGAGAGACAGAAAGCAGGAAATCACCCCCCGGGGGGGTGGACACGCCACAATCCCTTCTCCTCCATTCTCCTCTCGGGATCTTGGGCGCGCACGCACATGCGCCCGGCATGAGTTTAAGCCACCGGGTCCGGGACTCGAACCGCAGTCGACTACGTGGGAGTCCAGCGACATAGCCAATATGCTAACTGCTGGTCCCTAAACTATTTTGAGATGCAAAGTTCAGAAATCAGTTGTTAAATCCAAATCCACATGCTGACAAGTAAACCCAGAGATCCTCAGTAATGTCTTAAATCACATATGCTAAACAGAATACTGTCGATGCTCTGATTATGAATCACATCATTGATTTTCATGCGTGATTTACAGAAATCAGTACCCTTACTTTGCAGTCACACCTGCTAATAATGCAACACAAATTTCTGGTAACAGAACGATGATTCAGAATCCATTCTGGCAGAATATAACGGAGCTAGAACAAAAATCGGGGATGAGGGAATGTAAATACATTTTGTTTCGTTTTCTTCTGACTGGAGTAGGAGAAGTGACTTCTCAGTTTTATTTCCTTCTTTGTCAGTCCACTAAAGTAGAACCATGTGCAACATTATGCCTTGGTTTCTTGGCCCACGCTTACCAGAGAAAAACAGAGAGAAAATGAGAAATCACCCTCCAGAGGGGATGGCCACACCACAATCACTTCTCCTCCAGGCTCCTCCCAGGATTGTGGGCACACACACCCACGCACCCAGTGTGATCCTCAAGCCTCCAGGTCTGGACTCGAACCTTGCAACTGGCCAAGTGGGATCTAGCACCTTAACCTCATGCCACTGCTGGCCCTGCTTTTTAAAAAACCTAAGCTTCTAGTTCAACTCATCACATTTCTTCTCTAAAAGCACGCATTGTCCATGGCTCCTCCTTTTGGTCTCTGCAGGATTCCGTATGTTGCACTAGTTCTGATTGTGGGAAGACCCGTGTCATTGTGTAAGCAGTTATGAAATATCTCCCGTAGGGCCACAGCCTGGGGCAGATGGAGCTTTCAATCCAGGGAGAAAAGAGCACTCGGATCTGCCCTTTTTTCAGGCAGCCAGCCAGCAGCGTGTTTTCAACGAAAAGCACCAGACTCAACATCTCGCTATCCCTCCACGCATGGTCCACAGAGCAGCCGGGCCCCTCAGCAAGCGGAGGCTCAGTTCTATCAGGGGTTCTCTGGGCTACGATCTGAGCCCAGTGGATGTGAGATCCTGTTTCCTCCCGTCTGGGCCCAGTTATCGAAAGCACATGCTGGCTGGGGGCTGCCTGCACGCACAGCCCCGACACCTTATCTTTTCTCTGGCTCGGCCTCCAGCCCCACTCCAGTCGTCCTAAATTGCTCCTGAGCTCCGGTGGGATTGAGATAAATACCCCAACCTTTACACAGCTTCACAGGCTGGACAAAGGTCTGACTCCCAGGGAAAACAGGACAAGAACATCTCCCTAACATAACGAAAGTACAATCACGCCACATCTATTTTCTGGACTTTTGTTTGTTCCACCTATGTTTTCCTTTTTCCCCTTTTTCTGTACAGATTTATAGCAGAAGCCTGACATTCTAGTCATCTAAAAGCAATTTTACTCTGGTATTAAAATTGTCCTATACAGGAGCACTCGTAGTTCATTTCCTGAAAATTATTTCCATACATGTGAACTAACAATCTCAAAGACTCCAATACATATAAAATTAATCAACCCGAACACCACTTGATAGCACCGCCTTGGTGAAATCTACAAATTGAAATCACCGTTGCAGCCCAAATATATGCACATTTACAAACCAGATGGCTTTCCTACCCAAGTGAATGCGTGCCCCGGAGCGAGGGTCTCCAGGGGAGAGTTCAGAGGTTCTTAGAACATCCGGGTTAAAACACCAGCAGGAGGTCCAGAATTAGGTCCCTGGAAGTATTCTAGCAGGGCAGACCAGAGTGACAGTTAAAACACCAGCAGGAGGTCCAGAGTTAGGTCCCTGGAAGTATTCTAACAGGACAGACCAGAGTGACGTGTAGGAGCCATAAATGGCTTAGACAGGGGAGGCCCCTACAGAAGAAGGAGAAGGGAGAAACCAACAACTGTGAGTGCCTGACAGACGGACGGACGCCACGTTCGTATTGCTTGCTTTACCTTTGTCCATTCATTCATTCCTTGACCTGTTTTGGGGGGAAGGGAGGGGGAGAGAGCAAGAGAGAGAAATGGGAATTTTCTCCAGGGTCTTGCCATGTCCTGATACTTCTGCCCCAGCCTCCCAGTTAGCTAGGTCCACAGCTCATGCCTGAGTTCTTCTTTTATTTTTTCTATTTTTTTATTTTTTTTGTTTTTACTATATGGTGTATATACTTGTTGGAGAGAGAGAGAGGGAGAGAGAAAGTGAGAAATCATTCCCTGGGGCTACACCACAATCCCTTTTTCTTCATTCTCCTCTCGGGATTTAGGGCACGAATGCATGTGCACCCTGTATGATTTTTCAAGCTCCTGGATCTGGGACTCAAATCATGCACTCAGGTATGCAGGATCCAGGATCCAGCATCTTTTTTTTTTTTTTGAGAGATTTTCATTGTAGGGCGCGTGCGCTCGCCAGACAGAGAGAGACATAGAGACAGAAAGCGAGAAATCACCCCCCAGGGGGGAATGGTCACGCCGCAATCCCTTCTCCTCCATTCTCCTCTCGGGATCTTGGGCACGCACGCACACGGCGTGAGTTTTAAGCCACCGGGTCTGGGACGCGAACCGCGGTCGACTACGTGGGAGTCCAGCGACATAGCCATTACGCTAACTGCTGGTTCCCCAGGATCCAGCATCTTAATCACCGTAGCATCTGCTGCCCTATGCCTGCCATTTTTAGGTTGGGCTGGAACTGAACCCTAGCCTCCCGTGTGGCCTCAGCCACCACACAGTGGTGCCCTCCTGCTCACGCCACCGCGGCGGAACATCAACTCATTTCGTTTGATCCTTACACACGGCGAGAGCTTTCCCTGTTCAGATGGAGAAACTGACTTTAGTGGAAACTCTTTAGCCGGAAGTCTCTGGCCTGTAAGCCGCCCGTTTGCATAGGTCTATTTATCTTACTCTCCACGTTTTTGCCGTCATTCGCGCCGGGCCTCACGTGTAGAAGGTGCTTGATAAACACACAGTGACATTCGCGCCGGGCCTCACGTGTAGAAGGTGCCTGATAAACACAGTGCATAACAGCCCTCCCTCCGGCTGTCTTCCTGGCGAGTCCCACCCATGGGGCAGATGGTGCGGGACTGAAATAAAACCCTAATTAAGGGCGTTCTCCATTTCCTTTGAGGCAGCGGATCATCCGTAAGCCTCCAGTTCCCTGATACAAATCAGGGCCACATGTTCCGGCCACATCTGAGCCTCGGTTCCGCTGGCAGTCCAAGCCCTGCGGTCGGTATCTCAGTCTCCCCTCATCAGTTTTCTGTAAGCAAGGCAACACACCACCTCTGGTAACGTCCCCATCCGCCTTGGTGGCCCCCTCCCCCAGGTACCTTAACAACAATACCATGTCCTGCGTCCCTCTGCGCCCTGCACCCTAAGTAAGGGCGTTCAGAATGCATGCAGATCCCAGAGGGATTAGGGTCCCAGTCATTTTGCTTTTATATCAACTTTCGTCAAATTACTTCCCTCCAGGCTGAGATTTATACATATACCACAATTGCTAGAACAGAAAACAAAAGCTTTTCATTATCTGTTCTGATTTATTCTGTTTATACTAAATTTGCATCTAGGAGGAGCAAAAAAAAAAATTGTTTCTCAAAACAATTGAGAAGTTGAGGCAATAGTGTAGAATTAGGTTGTGTGATTACTACCAGTCTTTGGAGTTAACACTAAGAGGTTTCTATTGCTCTGTACCCACCCCCAACACACACACACACACACACACACGCACACACACAGATACATACTCACCCGCTACTACCACCAACCTTCCTCAATCCTTGAAGTGCTATATAGTTAGCCTACGTTAAACACGATTTTTGTTTTCAGTTTTGAAAACATTTTAGACTAAGAAGAAAGTTAAAATAGTCCAAGGAATTCATGTGTCTCCTTCCCCCAAAGTCCCCAGTGTCCACATTTTACCAGGTTGGCTTTATCACTTTTCCCTGAAATGTTTGGAAGCAAACATTGGCTGGTAGATGTCTGCAGACCTTGTGCCGAATAATTTAGTATTTTTCCCTTTAAAAGAGGACATTCCTTATATATCTATGAGCCGATGACCAAAATCAGGAAGTCAGCATTGGCACAGCGGACACGGTGCTGTTTCTCGCTCTCTACAATTCACATTGCACCAACTGAAATAACCTTCTAAGATACACACAAGTATGGCAAGCTGCTCAATGAAATATTGAGTTGTCAGAAAGTCATGAGTATTTTTTCTATGCGAAAACATGCTATGACTTTTCTGACAACCCAATATTAACATTATCCTCAATGTAGTCTTTCTATGTATTTTTCTTTTTGAAAATGTGGACAGGGGCCCATCAGGTTAAAGCCCTGGATCCCGTGGTGGTTTAAATCTTGGACTTGGTGGCTTTGAAAATCACACTGGGGTGGGGGCCGGCAGCTGGCGTGGTGGTTAAAGGGCGCTGGACTCTCACATGGCCGACCGTGGTCCAAGTCCTGGACTTGGTGGCTTGCTTTCTCTCTCTCTGTTCCTCTCCGATCAAATAAATAAATAAAGCTAAATAAAATAATTCTTAAAAATTAATTATTTATTTTTTTAAATGTTGTTTAAAGAGCCACACTTTGCATGTGTGTTTGTGCGTGTGTGTGTGTGTGTGTGTGCATGTGTGTGTGTGTGTTCGGAGCCGACATCTTGAGAGGAGAATGGAGGAGAAGGGATTGAAGCATGGCCTTCCCCCCTAGGGGGCGATTTCTCACTTCCTCTCTCTCTCCATCTCTGTTTTTCTCCCCTGGGTGCACGCACCCTATGAAACGAAATTGGGCAGGTAGTAGAGTGTTCAGCAGTTTTCACTCAAGAAATTTGGGACAGTTAAGAAATAGAAGTGCCACCCTTCCAGCCTGGGCCTCGGACCTGCAGCCACCACGATGCTGATGCCCAAGAAGAACTGGATTGCTGTTATGAACTCCTTTTTAAGAAGGGAGTGATGGTGGCCAGACGTCCATATGCCCAAGCGCCGGAGCTGGCTGACAAGAACGTGCTCAACCATCATGTCATGAAGGTCACACAGTCCCTTAGTCCCACGGCTGCATGAAGGAGCATTTTGCCTGGAGACATTCCCGCTGGTACTTACCAATGAGGGTATCCAGTTTTGCACGATTACCTCCACGTGCCCCCTCAGATCCTGCCTGCCACCCTGTGCCAAAGCCGTCCTGAGACTGGCAGGCCCTGACCGGAAGTCTGGAGGGCAAGCGACCTGCAAGACTTACAAGAGGAGAAGCTCAGAGACACCTACAGACGGAGTGCTGTGCTCCCCAAGCCCCCCACCCCCCACCCCATGCGGACAGGAAAGCCAGGGCTGGGGCGGGTCCGTCACCGAATTCCAGTTAAGAGGTGGATTTGGTCATGGATAGGGCCAGCCACCTCAGTAAAGTTGGAGGAAATTATTTATTGAATAAATATGTAGCCAGGAAAAAAACTCAAAGAAAGAAAGAAAGAAAAGAAATAGAATGCCTTGTGTCCTTGTGTCAATGTCTCTTCCTATTTTTCTTAAAAGGTTAGCTCACTAAAGATACAAGTCCTGGAGTCCCACGGGGGCAGAGGGGTACGGGGCAGGGGGCACGCTCCTCCCCAGCCTGGTGGGGACCAGAGCCCCGCCCCAGTCTGTGGTACTACCCAGGGGCCGCCCAGAAGGCTGGATGGACCCAGTCCTGCCCAGCTTCACCAAGGGTGCCTGGTGCAGAGCCGGCCAGCGCCCGGGGACACTACGGCCTGTCTTCCAATGAACTTGCCTTAACTACATAGTCGGACAAAAGTGTGTCTTAAGTGGCCTGGAAGTAAAATGAGCTGGAAGTGCACGGGTGGGAGAAGGAAACTCGGTATTACGGATTAAAGTGGATGCCCTCTGTGGACCCTCACAGTTACTGATCGATGCCTCCCCGCCTCTGTGAGGGCCAGGAGAGGCAGGGATCGCCCGGCTCCTCTCCTCCAAGGTCAGAGGGCCTGGCCTGACGCCTCCGGCTCTGTTTCTCCCCACTACCATCACCCTCCCAACTGCCTCGGGGACTCTGAAAGCTCAGACTTAACCTAGACGTTTCCAGTACAAAATGGCCACGGAGGCTCTCCCCAGCCCCTCCCAGCCACATCCCCTGCCATGGCCTCTTACCTGGGGAGGGTGGGCCCAGCTTTGAGCACCTGCTGCCCTCTTGGTACTTACAAATAGGCTCACACTCAGTCTCATACCGCACTTGTAAATGAGGGGGAAAAGTGGGCTGGGGGAGAGTTACTTAACCAAGGCCAGACAGAAAGGAGCGGCAGAGCCCCCAGCACACCGGCTGCCTCACCCCAGCCTCGTCGTGCCCTTCGTGAGGCGCGCTGGCTCTCCCACGCTCCCTCCACCGCGGACACCTCCCCAGCTGGCCCCTCAGGAAGGCCACCTAGCCTGCAAGATGGCGCTCAGCCTAAGTGTCTGTCAGACTCTCCTGGACTTCGCCAAGAAAACAGTAACTCCTTCCTCTGTGCTGTGTCACCGGACCTCCTGCGTGGTCAACCACAGTTTGAATTTGGGACCCGGTGGCTTGAAACTCATGCCAGGCTCATGTGCATGCGTGCCCAAGATCCTGAAAGGAGAATGGAGAAGGGATTGCGGCATGGCCATCCCCCTGGGGGTGATTTCTCGCTTTCTCTTTGTCTCTCGGGTGAGCATACCTGCCCTATTGCAAAAATCTCTCTTTCAAAAACATAATAATTATAAAATACGTGTAATGTTTACCCATACAAAGTATAAAAACACAAACAATTAATCGATTCGGCCAAACAGTAAGCCAATAGTGTTTGGATTTCCACAGTAAAATACACTAGCCGCCCAGCCAAGAATTGACTTCTGGACAAGGCATGGGCCAAGAATCAGCCGCTATCTCCCCAAACTCGGAAATAGGAGGGAACGGATGCCTCTAAAGAGGTAGACTGGAAAAGTCAGACAGAGATGGGCCCAACAACCCTCCCGCCTTGGACTCACTCTGAACTTGAGGTGTTTGCGTCCTACATTGCCCGCCCTCCACACCCAGCTGGCTGGCACTGGAGTCCTCAGGTCTGTGCGTCTTTTGATGCCCCCTTCTACTTAGTGACACAGCCATCATCTCTGGGGTTCGCACTTATCCTGAAATTTTCTTTCTTCTCCAGCTTCCAATCAGTCAGCAAATTCTGCAGATCTTACCTCAATAGCCTCAAGTCTGGAGGGGAGGCTGCAAGACCACTCTGGAGATGCCAGGAGCAGTCTGGGTGAGAGAGCTGACCAGGGCCTCGCACGGATAGTTTTGCCTGGAAGACACCCAGATGTACAACTGAAGGAGACGCCATCCAGGAAGCTGCCCAGCTGACGGGCGCTGCGTTCCCGCGGTCGTGGGTGTTTCCTGTCCCGCTGCACCTTGCTAGCAAGGGCTTACAGACAGCCTGGAATATAAAGAACTCTGGAAGTGGGATTCTGAATGGATGGCTAGCCACCACCACGGAAGCTGCTCAGACTCAGAGGGACCACGCAAGTCCCTGGCAGTTTGCCAGCGTGAGGAAAAGGACCCCAGGGAGCTGCAGCAGGAAGCAGCGGCAGAACTCGCCTGCCGACTTCAAGCAATCACTGAACACGGAATCGTAGTTGTCATAAATGATACCAAAGCAAGGAGAGAGGATGTGTCCCCACCAGGCTGCTGAGCTGTGTCCCAGGGTGATGAAGGCCCTGGGGGAAACTGCCTTGAAGAAGCCCTCCTTGTCGTTTAGAATCCTTGGGGCTTGAGTAGCTCCTCCAGGTCCCATCACTCACTAACCATGCTGAGGAGAAAGGTTTGGTATGACCTAATCTTCTTAGTGAATATTAAGAGAAGGGAGCAGTAGCTCTGAACATCTCGAAGAACTGTCCCCAAGCAGTAGACTCCTGCTCTAACGGGAGCCACCTTGCTTCTCGTAGGCTGACATTCTCCAGCCAGCTAGAGAGTGCTGAGCTGGAGTCCGCGTTCCTGTCCCAGGCCCCAGCCACATGCTCTTCTGCAGCGTGACCTTGCCACACCCGACAGGTTTGACCGATTGCATTCAGAACGGAAGCCGGTCTGCTTCCTAGCCAGGGTCTCCCTGGCATACAAGTCTACTTCCTACCTCTTTGGAACTGTTATTCTTGGAGCCAGCAGGTGGCAAGATCATTAAGGTGTTGGACTCACACATGGTCAGGGTTCAAGTACTGGGCCTGGTGACTCAAGAACCACACCAGGCATGTGTGTGCGCATGCCCACAAAACCCCAGAAAGAGAATGGAGGAAAGAAATTGTGGCATAGCCATCCCCCCCGGGGGGGGGGTGATTTCTCACTTCCTCTCTCTTGTTCTCTCTCTGTATTGCTCCAGCAAGCACATCCACCCCTATAGCAAAAACCTAAAAAAGAAATAAAAAAATAAAAAAAACCTGGCATGGTGCTTCTTTTTTTTTTTGGAGAGGTTTTTGCTATAGGGCGCCTGCGCTCGCCAGACAGACAGAGACATAGAGACAGAAAGCGAGAAATCACCCCCCAGAGGGGATAGTCACGCCACAATCCCTTCTCCTCCATTCTCCTCTCGGGATCTTGGGCACACACGCACACGTGCCCGGCGTGAGTTTTAAGCCACCGGGTCCAGGACGCGAACCGCGGTTGACTACATGGGAGTCCAGCAGCATAGCCATTACGCTAACTGCTGGTTCCCGACATGGTCATTCTTGAGGCATTTCCATGCTTCAAAAAATTCATGCCACGTGGCAATCCGTGCCCACGGCCGAGCCCCAGCTAGCAGCAGCGGCCACTGCAGCCACGTGAGCATGCCAGCTCGGCCGTCCAGCCTGGTCGAACCTTTGGAAGACTCCAGCCCCAGCACCAGCTGTGAGACCCTGAGTGACAAGGACTCAGCTGAGCCCAGTCAATCCCCAGAACCAGGAGAGGTGTGTCAGTCCCTAGAGCTGTAGTAACAGAGTCCCCACAAGCCTGTGGTTTACAGCATGGCTCTCGAGGCCGGGAGTGTGAAAGCAGGGGCTGGAAGAACCACGCTGTCTCCCTGAAACCTTGGAGGGAGGATCCTTCCTGGTCTCGTCCAGCTTCTGTCAGGCCCAGCCATTCTGGCTTGGGCGGCTTCAGTCCAGTCTTCGCCTCAGTCTTCCCACAACCTTCCTCCCTCTAAGTCACTGTGTCCAAATCCTCTTCTTATAAGGACACGGTCATATCACCGTCATACTCCTCTTCACTGGATGACATCTGCACGGACCCCATTTCCAAATAAGGTCATATCCACAGGGATTAGGGGTAAAAGTTTTATTTAACATACTATTTGGGGAGATGCAATTCAATTCACAATGAGAGGTAATAATACATTGTTGTCTTTTCCCTTTCTTTTTTAATTTTTTTTTTATCTGCCAGTGGGCATGTGTGCTCACCAAAGCCAGAGAGGGAGAGGATGCTGGAATCCTTTTTCCTTCATTTCTCTATCCTGCTGGGATTTGGGGCAGTCATGCACACATGCCCAATGCAAGTCCGGGTCCAGGACTTGAACTGTACACTCAGCCATGTACGATCCAGCTCCCTTAAGCACTAAGCCACGGACCGGCCCTGCTGTGTCTTCCTTTTGGAGAAGTTTGTTGTGTAGCAATAGAAACTAGGGCTACTAGCTAGCATGCCTTCAGTGCATAGCTGGCTACGGTAGAGGCGGAGGCTGGGTGTCTGAGGGGAGCCCGTCTACGGCTAAAACGTGAGTATGCCTATAATCAAAATGTACTGTACGATGTACTTATTTGGTTTGGGGATCCAGTTAAGGTTGTTGTGTTGTGTTGTGTTCTGTTAAGGTGTTTGGCTGATTCATCTCTGTGCAGTTTTTTAATTCAGGATCTTTATTCTAAGCCTCTTCTACAGAAAGAGCAATGCTCTGAGTGAAAGGATTTGTGTCTGTCTCTGACAAACTACGTGATCCCAGGCGAGTCCAACAGTCTCTCTGGGCTTTCGCTTCATTCACTCAACAACCATTTACTTGAATCCTACAACACATTTGAGGTGGGGGGTACTCAAGGGTTTATACTTTCCAACCTCTCATTTTACAGATCGGGAAGCTGAGTTGTGGGAGGTTACCGGGTTTGCCCTGTTGTAAACTGGTTATATTCTGGTCGTATTTATCTGTGAAATAATGAATTTACAGCACGTTTTCTCAAAGGTTCTTTCCAGTTGTTTAACCAATTCTGATTCAAAAGCCATAGATTATATTTTACCCACTTTAAAAAAAAAATACATTTATTCAGCTGAGTGCATTTTCAAGGCTCAGAAATTACAACTGCAAAATTGTGCCACCAAAGTGCCTGGACGCTGATGCTCAAGAATAATGAAGCCAGTGAACAGAAAGTCTCACCGAACCAGCAAAACTAAACTGATCTTTTTGTTGTACTTTCAGTTTGCGTGACTCTGAGGATCTTGTTTTTACTCATCTTAATTTCAAAGCCCCCCGAAATACCTGATCATGGCAAACGTGAGTCATGGCAAAGAGCGCAACCTGGAAGATGTGTCCTCCTGATTTAATAAGAGGAAGGAGAGAGAGAGACCAACGTGCCCAGGAAAAGGTGAGTGCTACTCACATATCATTTTCTTTGAAGATAGGAAGGCATCTCGCATGCTGTGCGGTTGTGCGTTGGACTGCGTTGGAGACAGAAAACAGTCGGGCCTTGTATCAGAGTGTAGGGGCTCTAACGGCCGTCAGGAACATTTACGGGAATGAACTGCTTTCGGGGATGAAAGGCACACAAATGCAACCAAGTGAGAGAGCCGCGCAAAGCACGTGCCGGGTAGAAAGATGATTTTACCGTGTTTCACGGGGAGGTTTGGGGAACTGGGACTGACACCAAGGTACAAGCCGAATGTTCTTCCCCGGTAGAAAACCTGGTACTAATCATTAACAGGAAAAGTCGTGAAATAGACACTGTTACATCATCCGGGCCCAGGACCAACCCTGGGTGTTGAGCGTCAGGTCACAAGCCCCCAGGGACATATAAAGGACCATCTCCTGCTTCCCAGGAGAGGCCCCAGCTTCTTCCTCTGTTCTCGCATCCTTGTTAAATGCCTCCTGTCGCTGCTAGTGCTTTGTCCTGTGTGTGGTCTTTATCTGTTAGCGGTTGTGTCTTACTCTCTCCGTGTCCCAGGGCCTGCCCAGGCCTCCCCGCACCAGGTGACCAGCGGACACTGTCTCTCCAACCCCAGGCCTGACAGCGGCAAAGAGAGGGGCACTGGGCTGTCGGCCTTGGACAGACACCGTGGGCTTGTCTGCCTCTGGGGCCTTCAGCTTGGACGGAGCCACGTCACCAGCACCCCGGGATCTCCGGCTCACTCTGCCTGTGGCGGGACTTCACGGCCACAGTCACGGGAGCCAGATTTCTGTGGGGGACGTGGGCATGAAGCAGACATGAAGAGGGCGCTGAAATCAGGGGGTACAGAGCGGACACACGGCTTCCTCCCAGGCAGCCGGCCGCCGTGGCCGCCCTGTTTGCTATTTATCCCGCCTTTCCCTGGGCGTGGGCAGGGCTCTCGGGACTCACCGCCCAGCCCTGCCTCAGCTGCAGGCCCAGCCGCACCTGCCACCTGCCGCTTCCTCAAAATTGCCCACAGCAGCAGCCTCGATGGCCCCAGCGTGACTCACAGGGCCAGTCCCCAAGGAGGCAGGGAAGCCCTCTCAAGCAGCAGTAGGGCAGCAGGGAGCTCAGGGCCTCCATTTGGCCCCTCATCGCCCCTGGCCAGGGCCTGCCCCAGCTCTGCCCCTGCTCCACCCTGGCATGGCGCCCCTTCTGCGAGCTCAGTTTCTGACCCACGCAGGAGAGTTCCCGCTGGGTCCACACCAGCCTCTGCCCCTCTCCTGGACCCTAGGACAGGAACGTGGCCAGTCTGTTCTGTAGGTCCCTGGAGTGAAGGCTCAGGGGGTCTAGGGACCTCGGCTGGACAGGAGGGCCGGAGCCAGCACGACAGTGACTTCTGAGGGTGGCGCCGGACTCAGGAAGCATCTCCCTGGACCGTCTTCTCTCCTTCCCTGGTCCCTTCTTCCCAGCGAGCAAACAGGAGCCGGGTTTGCTTCTCACAGAGCTTCGGTCCTCGCGCCGCCTCCCGGCTGGCCACCCTGCCCCAGTCTTGTGGGGCCTCTTCTTTTCCCTCTCGGTTCCTTTCCCACCGCTGCAGGGAGGGCGCCTGGCAGGGGCCCAGTAACTGCTGGCTGCCCAGGGGGTGAGTGCCCGCGTCCGCGGTCCCCGCTCTGTGAGGCTCCCCTGAATCTTCCCGGAGGAACCAAGACCTGCCCCGCACTCGTTCGCCAGCCTGGCGGTTGGAAGTGTCCGGTGGGTTCTGCTTTTCTGCGAAGGAAGAGAAAGCTGAGAGCAGCCTCAAGCCGCAACACGGAAAGAAGAGAACGCCGCAAAGAGCTGGGATCGGCCATGGAAACAAGCTAACCTGGGTACACTGGGTACCTCTGCGGGTCAGGCCCTCTCGCCCCCATTAGTCACACGGCTCCTCTCTACAGCCCTGGGGAGAGGGCGCGTTCCCATTTCACAGAGGGACCAGAGCGGCCTGGAGACGGTCACCAGCTTCCCCAGGCTCACCGGCTGGCTAGTGACCACGCCTGGCTCCGAGCCCTGCGCCCGCCGGCCGAGGAGGATCATTCGTTTCATCCGATGACTTCGCTGAACCCCGACCCCGGCCTCTACTATAGGTTATGCAGAAGCTCCCAAATTTCAAGGCTTCGAGAATCTGCTAGTGTTTTGGGTGACACCCTCACTGGGTCAAAATTCAAGTCTGTTAGGGCAGTCTCCAAGTGTGGTCCAAAAAGGCTCCCAATCTGCCGGGAAACAAATATCCAAACAGGTGAGCCGTGGTATGAGGGTCTCCAGAGACAGCCGCGGGGTGAGCCTGGAGAGAGCAGCGAGGGGTGCACTGCTCTGCGGAAATGGCCCTACGGCTGGCGGCCCAGTCCGAAGGCCTCAGAGACAGAGAGGCCAATGGCCTAGCTCCCTCCTAGGCGGACAGCCCAAGGGCCCAGGGGAGGTGCAGGACATGGCATGGGGCCCAGAGTCGAAGGCCCGAGAGGACCGCGTTCTGGTGTCCAGGGCAGCAGAAGGACGTCCATCCTGCCCTTGGTCCTTCCTTCCTCGGCGGGGATTTGATGGCGTTGCCTGCACTGAGCCGGAGCTCCCCACCATGACCCCACGCTCTCCGCAGTCTCCTCTGGAAACGCCCCATGGACACGCCCGGAGCAATGCTTCAGCGGCTTTCCAGGGCTTCCCTAGTCGTGCCACCGACGCCCCTCCCCGGTACTAACCATCGCAGCCACGTAGGGATTTTTACAGCAGTTCTCTGACCCCGCACGACTGATGCTCTAAGCCCAGTCCTGTTTTTGATGTGGGGCCTGTCCTAGGCACGGTCAGGTGTTTAGCTGCCTCCCCGGCCTCTGGAGGCCAGTGACATCCCCTCCCCAGCTGTGACAGACAAGTGTCTGCAGATACTGCCAAATGTCCCCAGGTTGGGTGGGGACTGCAAAGTCACTGTCCCCCCACAGTGGAGAACCACTATGTAAAAACAATTTGACAGAGGAATTTTATGTCTATTCCATCTAATAGTTTTTAAAAAGTAAATCTTTAATTTTGTATGTCTCTTGTTTTTTAACTTCTTTTTTCCAATAATTAATTCTTACTGATTGTATTAAGGTCTTGGTCTTGAAGCCATTGGGGATAAAAAGCACAACAGAACTGGCCTTCCCGTGGGCAGTGCGAGAAGCCTCC